CACGGAAATAAACTTTTGAGCCTTTAGCTTCTACTACTAAACATTGAAAGTGATGAAGTCCCTCACTGATTCTCAGACGGCTGGAATTAACAATTGGATTCAGAATAAAATTAAAACTTGTAGTTGTTAAGGAGTTTGGGTTATCTACAAAAACGAGGCAGAGGATGTTTCCTTGACTAAAAAAAGCATAATCAAGAGAAGGCAATGTTAAAAGGATATGTCTTAGTTATATTGCAAACTGACAGCATTCTAGCAGAAGAGGCTCTGCCACTGAGAACAAGTGGAAGGAATCCTGAAACTCTGCTTCCTAAAGAATCATTCCTTTCACTGGAGGCTGAAGCGTGAGCTGACTCATATAAATTCACTTAATTATTTCAACATTTCAAAGTCTTTAAGACAAAAGCTTTATGTATGACATCAAATTATACCACACTCAGAAATTCTATTTAGATGTGTTTAGACATCTGTATGTTTATCGTGGTCTGTTTTTTATTTTAAATGAAGCTACTTCACTTTCTGGGCTCATTTTAAAATGTTTTCTTCCTCTGCTTTAAAACCCATTGCATTGCTTTCTAAATTTTGGCATTATGTGCCTACACATAATCGGGCATAGACTGATGATCGCTTCATATCTGTACTGAAATCATCTTTCATGCCAATTTGTTAGGAATGGAAATATTCAGAAGCATAGACTTCATCAATAGATTGTGAAAGGCCAAGGCAAAAGTTTGTTCACCATTAAGCTTTCAGAATAGGAATGACAGGTATGGAAGATGGATTCTGACTATCTGTGCTTAAGTGAAAGTCACATCTCTTAAGAAAACAAAACCTAGAACTAACGACGTTCTACTTCAATTTTTGAAGCTTCTTTTCCCCCTCCACCCTAGAAGTCCCATACATCAGGAAGCACGCAAGATTGCACAATTTTCACAAAGCAGTCAGCAGAAGCCTCTCGGTTTCAAAGGCACAACTCACGTCCTTTAGGTTACAGCAGAACTATACAGAAAGTATTTCAATTTCATATGCTCTAAAAGTTACTTTCCCACAACTCACATACGGTAATGAAGGCTCAGAACTGAAGCTGAAACAAAGATATATATTACCTGCTGCAATGGCTTCTTCCTCAATCACGTCACAATCCACTGACACAGTAACAAAGCCATTTGCTGCTTCTCCTGTTCCCTTTCCTTCCCCATAACATCCCTAGCTCCTCCCAGATGTTTCTAGTTGCTTTTATGCAGGCAGTTTTTGGTCACTCCACTTCCAAAAAGTCTCACCAACCCCATATGTTATCTACATTAACTGGAAAGGGAATGTAATTGAGCAAGGCTCCTGTTTGCTGTCTAGGGAAGCTCTTTCATGCTCTCTCCTATGACTAAACAAGCAGACTAGCGCCTTCATTTAGAGTAATATTCAGTGGTTTGAGTAGTCTCCCAAGCTAAAGCTCACATTTCAGAAAGTCTACCATATATTTTTTTAGAGATGCTCAGCAATGCAGCAGTTACAAATCCAACTAATCCAGATGTGGAAGGTGAAGGCAATTTCATTGGCTACAACATAATCAAGAAGTTTGGAAGCCAGTATTTTTAAAGCAATCTGTTAAGAAGTCTCCAGCAGACAACCCTGGCTGATAAGCCCTGCTGATCTCTATATTCTTCATGCTGATTTATAAATTACTGTTAAATTACTGACCACATGCATCCAGAACTACGTGCCCCAGTACTACATTGGAAACCTATTTCATAAACCTCGTTCAGAATTATGATAATTCCAATCGAAGTTTATCACAGTGTTAAATCATTGTATTTATTGTATTCATTTCTTAAATCACATAAAATACAACACCTTGACCCAAGAATAACTGGAAAAATAAATTAGATTAACATGTCAACCTAAAATTTCACTGGTAGATTCCATGTGCAAGTCTTTGACAGCAAAGTGACTTGCATTTGCTCATTCACGCTCTCTCCTTCCTTTAAGTGTTTAAGACCAGCAAGTTTTACTCAAAGTAAATGAAACTTCTAGGTATTTGGCACATAAATCTGAGATACCAGCTTTAAAATTGCAGACACAGGTTGTAATGCTAAATGGAAGGAAGGCCTGACTGTTGTATTCTGGTGACCCTTGCACAACGCCTGCATTTAAGTAAATCTTTATATTCAAATTCACACCTTTTATTCTTACAAATTTGCAACTTCCATGTAGTCAGTTTACTCATCATAAGTGTTTCAGTAATGAAACAATAAAGCAGACTCCTTCGTCCCACAGGGAGCGTTCACTCTAACACAGACCAAAGGAGCTAAGTATGAAAGTGTAACTTTTCTGGAGCGTACACACTCAGAAGCCTTGCTGATGTCCACAATAACTGCATGTGGCTATTTAAAATGTATTATTTTTTTCACCAAGTGAATTTATATAGTATGTCTCTTTTTCTATATTAATGTGTGATAAATGTATTTTTAGCATGTGATAAACACTTGGGATTTTGTCTGACTGACTCTAAGCATCACAGAGGGCAGAGAAAATGGTCAGCGATTGAAAAAAAAAATCATACCAAATAAAAGCAGTAGCAGCAGTTCTGACTATCATGAGACAGCATCAGGCTTCTTGTGCAAACTGAAGATATGCTTTTTGCATGCAGCTCTGAATTACAGATGTTATCTTCCAGAGAAGTCTTGTTAGAGGAGACTTGTACTGTTAAAAACCTTTGAGGGTCCCATTCTTGGATAAGGATGAAAAATCCTTCCTTATCAGGCAATCCAACATGCTTCTGAGCACACTCGTGCTTGTAGTGGGGAGAGTTCTGGCTCTACGGTGTCGTGCATGGAGCAATACACAACATTATTTAAACACTGCACAGGGTTTGGGATATCTGGGACGTGGGCAAAGGTGAAACACAAACCTCTATTTCTCATACTCTAGTTCAGTGAGATTCAGAGAGTCCCTAGATCTTGCTGATGTGAAGAGAAGGTAAGAACTCCCACTAGGTCACAGGAAGGAGACCTACAGAAAACATAATCGAGCTACTCAAGTTCAAGTGCAGTTTAGCATGGGCCTCCATTAAACTATACAGTCAGAGCCCTTTGCCAAAAACAGAGTTAAAACTGAAGGGATTTTTCTACAGTTCTACTATTTACAATCATTTGTACATATGTACATATTTATATGTTTATTCATACCTGGACAATGTGACGTTAAAGGGATAATTTATAATTTACAAATTAAACATTTTAAGAATGTATAATTATATCATGAAAAAACCTTTTTTTTTATTGCTTGCCTTCCAGCCTTATGCTCATAATCACACTATTGCACACATCTCCATGTTACATGGAAGATCTACATTTATATATAAATATATATATATGAAAATAAGGATATTTTTATTTTAATGCTATGAGTAAAGTGCTCATTTTTTAACTACTGTTGATGAGAAAGGTTTAATCTGACAGTTTAATTAGAGGGACTTCAAGGGATACACACCTTGTCCATGCTTCTCCCTTTCATTTATAACTTGCAAAATGTCTTTATTTTACTGATGTCAACTCTGTCTTAACTAATAATTCTATTCATAATATGCATTTGTGACCTTGGCATCTATACTGTCACACAAAATACAAAACAGAATCACATTAAAAGCAAAGAAAAAGCAAGAAAACAAAACAGCAAATGAAAGCAGTGTTTCTCTTCATTGTTTTTAGCACATTTCCATATCTTAAGATACTCTTTTATTTGATTTTAGAAATATTTGTACAACTTTGTTAAACTCTGAACATATCTATTTTATGCACTATACTCAAGTACTGTACAAAACTGCAATAAATGACACTATACGACTACATATGTCTCTACTAGAAGACATCATCATAAAGGTGTATCTTTTTTTTAAAGGTCAACTAATAACTGCTAATGTATGTGTGAATCAAAACATTTTTGATTGGCCAAGTATACTAAAATCTAAATACAGTACACAATTATTAGTTATGCCATGATTTACCAGGCCTTTAGGGGCATAAAGAATCTTTGCAGAGGCTCAGATGAAAAACAATTTTACCGGTCAGTATTAAATGTTCATATAAAATTGCAAATGGCAGCTCCAATTTTTTTATACTTGTGTATATGAAATATAGTTGATACCTACTGATGATGCATGACCTTTTATTAAAAAAATAACATTGAAATCTTAGCAAAACCATTTCTAGTATACAAAGTTGTTGTAAAGTTATGTTAGCGAAATGTAAAGTTGCAATTTACAAAAGCAGCAGTAAATTTTATTATATGGACAACTTCCTGAACGTAAATCATGGTTCTTGTTTCCCTTGAAAATAATGCTTTTGTGGACAAATACAGGTAAATATTTTAATGGCAGGTTTGGGGATAACATTAAGCAAGGAAAAAGAGTGTATTATATTACTGATATACTTAACCCTGAAAAATTTCTGAGTGCTTTTCCAAATCTAACAATAATCCAATTAAGAATAAAATCAAAAAAGCAAAAAAATACAACTTTGCTGAACCAGATGACCTGGCTTAGCAACATCAAATAAATAAAACAGTGAAAACTATAGGAGTTTCACTAGCTGAAGTTGGTTGACATTGGAAATTTGATTAACATTTGCTTTTCCCTGAAATCAATTTGAAGAGTTTATTAACAACTTCAAACAGGACAGAAGTTTGAAACTTGTAGATTTTGCCATACAGTAGTCTTTACTACCTCTTCAGTCTAAGTAGTATTCAGAATGTTTGTGAACAGTAGAACTGTACGACCTCCGTACTCTGATATGTACATGGGTACTGCTATCGTATGAAACAATTACACCTTTTTAAAAAAATCACTTTTTTAAATGACAGTTTCTTTCATTAAAGTAGAATTAGTTACTTTATAGAAAAATATTTTAACTTTAAATTAAAAAAATACTGTTCCTAAATAATTACGTAGGATATCTTTCATTTCATTGTACGGAGAGAATATAATTCTGTATATTTGAACCCTAGTTTAACAGAACTCCCCTGGGTATAACTTTTAAAGAGCTGGCTATATTTGCCATGGGTGCTATCTGTTTACAGACCCATGAATTAACACTGTGTCCCTCCTTTGGAGATACACAGATAAGACATCTATATACACTCTGTACATAATGGTTCACAGATTAGCAGTTATTAGTCGTACTGTACATAGCAAACAACCTATCTGATTAGAATGATGCTTTAAGTCCTCGGTGCAATTCAGCTTTTAGGTTGATGGCGCAAAGCCAAGTAAGACAGGCTCCCTGTTTAAGTATGTAGCCCAATACACTAAATTAAAAGTACCAAATAAGACTGGAAACACTATTCTAGACATTCTGTCAATTTTGCTAACACTGTTGAATGTCTTCTTTGCCTCCTGTGGCTTCGCTTCTGGTTTTGCCTTGTTGGGTTCTGCAGTTGTAGCACTCTTGGAGATGGTTGGTAGCACTGAGTCCTTGGTAATATTTGGAGCATAGTTGGCAACAGCCACTGCATAGGCATTGTTTTTCTTAATGACAGACGCTTTTTCTTTTTTCTATTGGAAGACAGCATGAAGTTAAATATTTAGTGTGTATTTGCCAGAATAGACTTCATAAAACATTTCAAATGAAAAAGAAACAAATTAGTAGATGTGAGCATGTTTAAATAAATACCAGGAATACCATACTGACAAATCCCAATATAAAGACAGACACTTCCAATCTATCCAAAAAGAAGGTACAGGTAACATAAGAATGCTCTAAAATTATGGATTCTTGTACAATCAAATGCCCTACTGAAGTCACATGAAGAAGGGTCTGTTACTGTGATTTCACAGACAACTGGAAAAGAATTGGTCTTTTTCTAGCTGCTTTGGATCTGGCTCCTTACAAGAGAACTGGAAGACATTTAAAATGTCCTCTCTTGAGAGAACTAGGAGTGAATGGGCAGAATGCAAGAAAAAAAATTACCTGGCATTGTAATAGAATGAAAACAAGGCCATCTTTCGCACATAAATCTAGTATTTCTATTATGGAAACATCTTGTAATATACCACCCATAAATAAAGGAATTGCAGTAATGGTCTACATTTTTAAGAGATTCTGGAGAAATGTGTGTGTGTTTACATGTATATATACATAGACACACACACAGAGGTCACAAAGAGATTGCGATTGAGAGGAAGAAAGACTGCAGCCTGGTAGTTGGACAAGTAAACTGTTCTGCCCAAGCTATTTTTTTCAGAAACTGTTGTTTAAAAAATGTCACAAAGAGATTGCAATTAAGAGAAAGAAGGACTCCAGCCTAGTAGTTGGACAAATAAACTGGGAACTAGCGCAAGCTATTTTTCATAAATTATTGTTTAAAAAATGAAAATGGGATTAGAACCTAAAAAAATAACAGGAGATCATAAAAATGGGATGGAATTACAGAATTTAATGAAGTTCAGCAAAGGGAAATTTAAGCTCTGCACCTGGGGAGGAATAACCTCATGCACCTGTACAGGCTGGAACTAACAGACTGGAAAGCAGCTTTGCAGAAAACAGCCCAGGAGGTCCTGGTGGACACCAACTTGAACACAAGCCAGCAATGTACCCTTAGAGCAACAACGGCCAACAGCCCACTGGGCTGCACTGCAAAGAATGCTGTCAGAAGGCAGAGGGAGGTGGTTGTTCCCCTCCATGCAGCCCTGGTAAGACACATCCGGAGTGCTGGATCCAGCTGTGGGCTCCCCAATTGAAGAGAGACATGGATATAATGGAGTGAGTCCAGTGAAGGAGAAGAGAAGGCTCAGGTGAAGAGAAGGCTCAGGTGGGAATGTTATCAATGTGTTCAAATATCTGGTTGGAGAGACTAAAAAAGACCAGACCATTCTCAGTGATATCCAGTGGAAGGATAAGAGGAAATGGACACAAATTGAAATGCACAATATTCCACTTCAACATACCAAAAAACCCTGTTTTACTGTGAGTATGACTGAGCACTGCAAGAGGTTGCCCAGAGGGGTTGTGCAGCCTCTACGCTTGGAGATACTAAAAAACTGTCTGGGCATGACCCTGAGCAGCCATCCCTAGCTGACCCTGCTCGGAGTAGCAGAGTTAAATGTGACGATCTCCAGAGATCCCTTCCAACCTCAGCAATAATGGCAGTCCAATGGAGAAGCTATGTCTACAGATACAGGGATGTATAGGTACTAAGCACAGGCTTGAGTTTTGTAGACATAGTATAGGTACATAGATTAACTCTGCTATAAAACTGTAATGCTATAAATTGATTCACTGTTTTGTAGCAATCCCAAACCAAGGAACTTCTAGTAATCTACAGGAAAGAATGGAAGGATTTCAGTTTCTCAGGTACCAAGATTCTCCACATATAATTTAGAAGCAGGCAAATAAATATTAGATTCAGTCCATCTGTTCTACAAAATATAGAATTAGGCAGATGAAGAAATAATTAACTTTTGGCTCATATAAGAAATCATCATGCTGTATTGGTTTGGTTTGATTTTGAATCTAATGGAAGCAGCACAAGTGAGGGAATTCTTGTGGCATTTCTCATACATGTGCGTTCCAGTTTTTTACTTCCTCTGGGAGGCATCTACCCATTTTCCAATCTCGGTTTTGAACTAGGTCCAATTAGATATTTATTAGGGCCATCTAAAAATCTTGATAGGATCTTCATGGTTAGATGCTGTGCCCCAAATAACTTGTCACAGGAGATGGTATCATATAAAAAGAAAACCTGGGATAGGGTGGAGATTCAGCATTGTTCCTTATTGACTGGAGTAGGAAAAAGGGATGACAAAAAATGTAGCTTGTCTCTGCACCTATTTTCTTGTAACACAAATTTTATGTTGTCAGCACTCAGACAGGAATTTCCATATAATGTGAACACAGATGACTGTCACTGAAGAAACATATTTCACTTTATTTGGTGAAGAGTAAGCCTGGCTTTAGCTGCACAGATGCATTCGGCAAAACCAAGAGCAAATTACCGAATCAAGTTACAAGAGGAACACTCTAATTAATCCTTCCTTTCAGACACACCCACTATGTTTCTAAAAGGTATCTGTAATACCATTAATGAGACCTGCATTATAAAGATGAACCATATTTTTGTATGAGAAACTATGAATATGTTAAAAGTTTAGCTTTTTGTTAACTCAGTTTGAAGAAAATAGAGAACTGAACATGTGAATTGTATATAAATATTAAAATGGAATGTCTAACTTTGTTCTAGGGAAGGAATAAGTACCTAGCTGTTCAATAACTGCCACTCCTAAGATCATGAGAAAACACTGTTATACTAATTTAAAGGAACAGCCAAAGGATGATCATAGAATTTATAAGGACTCCTTACATTCTTACAATGCCAGGACATTGTGCCAATCTGAAAAGCTTTGCTCATGACATGTTGATAAACTTGTAGTGATTTGGTGCCTACTTCTAGCATGTGGAAACAGATCCTGAAGCTATTGATAGTTCATGCCCTTCCAGAAGCCACAGGTAATTATAAGCAATGTATTCATTTCCTTTAATTTTCCTTTGCCGTTAACTGAAAGTTTTGCTTCTTTACGCATTGTGCTTTATACATTCATAGTGCTGAGAAACAGTCAGTTAATTAACCTTTGCTTCATATCTACAATTATTATCTAGCAAGCAAACAATATTCTATCCTATTTTACAGAGAAACACAGAAAACAGAGCATTCTGCATCAGAATAAGTAATTTTCCATTGGTAGAACCAGGAACTGGGATGGAACAAAATTATATAATGTAGTAAGTCAATTAAAACAAGAAGCCAGCTTTAGCATTTGTTCTGTGTTACTAAAGCTATAAACAGTAAAGCTTGACACAAATTTAGGCATATCACCAGTTCATTTTGTTCACAAAATATGAAATTCTATCAAGTTAAAATTTATTCATGCTATCACAGCTACACTACTATAGATACCAGAAAATCAAGGCATGACTGTGGTTCTTTGCACTTAGAGCATCAATACATCATAGGTGAAGAAGTTCTCAGAATTTGCTACAACTGATATTTAAATTATTTAAAAATCAATTTCTACATATCACTAGGGATAAGTTTCAGAATACCAAAGAAGTTAAAAATCTCTAGATTTTGTTATTAACAGTTTTCACATATATAGGCATTTCTGAACCTCAGTTATCAGGAAAATTAATATACATTATATATTTCTGTAATATTTTTATTTTCTATAATCTAGATTAAATTTTCTGAATAATTAGATAAACAGTTGTATCTGAAGAGTCAAGAAACAATTCAGTTCCCAACAGAAACCAAAACCAACATGTCTGATAATTAAATCTAGATTATTGAGACAAAGTGATATTAGCTGCATCAGGGCAGATATATTCTTGTTCAGGACAGAAAACACATATACGTTCTTTTGATTTAAAGCATCATGTATTATCTTTCTTAATATAGCAAATTTTATCAAAACAATATATAACAGCTATTTTAGCACAATTGACTGGAAACAAGGCTATTTCCTTAGGACTTACCTTATCATTCACTACACTTTTTCCATCCCAGGCCCATCCTCGTTTTGTGAAATAATTTACAGTTGCAAATTCAATTAATGCAGAGAATACAAATGCATAACAAACAGCAATAAACCAATCCATAGCTGTTGCATATGCTACTTTGGGGAGTGAATTTCGAGCACTGATGCTCAGTGTTGTCATTGTTAACACAGTTGTTACTCCTGCAAGGGGACAAAAAACCAGAACATCAACAATTTTACTTGGAATTTGCATGTTAACAAAAATACAAACCAACAAGTATTTTGGTATGCTTGTGAAACACAATGGAAAATGTGCTTATCTGAATCAGTGACAAACTGCCAGAATCATATTAAAGGCTGCATCTGGAGTTTCCTTTGAAGTATTTTAGTTCAATTTTGTTGTCTAAGCTTCCTTCTTTTAATCCTCTGAAGATTTTGCTTACAGGAGATAGATAATATTTTCACTTTTTTTAGCTGTCGGAAAAGGTAAGGAACATTAAAAATTCCTTAATGGAATCATAATAGTTTGCAGCATTACAGCTGGCCTCACTGCAGCAGTTGCAGGTCTGCACTCATCTTTACTGACTGACAGCACCACACAGATTGACTTTTCTTATTAGAAATAATGATTTTTTATTTTGTTTTATTTTATTTTTGCCAGTAGCTGTCTCACTAACCATCCAGTGACACAGTTGATGACATAAACAGGTTAAGTTTTCAGGTAACATGGATTCTTTTTCTTGTACAGCATACTGATTTGAAATGCCAAAGGATTATAATTTTATTATGCATCAGAAAACAAGACTTGATGATTCTGGAAGATTGTTCTTTCACTGTGGCAGTTATTAAAAGCATTTTACAGTACTTTGTACATAATGAAGACCCAGTAGGAAGCCAGGAAAAAAATCAGAAAAGAAAGAAAAAATCAGGAAAAAAAAAAAAAGATATATGGGAAGAAAGGAAGAGAATCACACTCCAGACTAACTAAACCATTCCCTTTGTTGCACGCCGTTAAATAATCTCCAGAATGAAAAGCAACACAAAGTGATATACTTAGCAGAGATTAACAAACCCGCACTCCATTATGACAGGCAAAGGAGGTGCCATGGCAGAAGTATTAGTAACAACACATCTCAGCTTCGACATACAAACTCATAGAATTGTTGTAAGAGGATTCCCAAGAGAAAGTAGAGTCTATCTCCCTAAGCCAGATCCTCTGCTGTCAACAGTCTGTCACCTGTTCCACAGGATCGACCTATCTCAAATTTCCTTTCTGCTACAAGGGATTCATTTTTAACGATTCCGTGAGAGGGAAGACGAGGCAGCAATTACACCCGCTCAGACCTCTTCAGGATTTGCAGTTTCTCTCCCTCCTGTAAAGAATCTCCATCTCTGAGGGTGGCACAAAGGGTGATGGAGCAAATCTAAGTGGACTCAGCCTCAGCACTGCTTTCTCTTGGTGCACTTGTAAAGGCCTGTGCAGCAGGGAAAACAAGGTACAGAAACATCCTGCTGAGTCACACAGTGTCCTTAGCAAAGGTAATTCTCTAATTGCTATTTTTCAGCCTCCATGAACTGAAGAAGCAGATTTGGTCTGGAATCAGCCGTGACACTGTTGGGATCTATTAGCCTATACAATGAAAATAAAGTAGCTATCATACTATATTGTATGAAAATGTGTAGACATATTTTTCAAAGAGCACTCGTAACATTCTTCTAACATTTACACAACATATGGCTTAATTATTTTCAGCACCTTAGGGAAAAGGCAGTCTATCTTACCTTCAAAATTATCATATGCATATTTTAACACCAGTCCTAAGCTGCAGATAAATCATTTTAATTATACAGAAGTATCAGTAAAGTGATTGTTTCTCAGAGATAAGGTGACCTTACCTACACGTAAATATATACAGTTGCTAAGGTACTTGTTCTGCTTAAGTCCTACCCTTTAGAATAAACTAATCTTCTGGAAGCCCCGTTGGTTTCCTCAGAAATGTAATTTCAGAAATGTAATGTAAGGTTAATTGCTGAACTTTTCTTGTCTCATTTAAAACATAATGAATTTACATCTTGTACATTGCTACCAGTTGACAACTTCTCTAAAAAGTTCATCAAGCCACACCACTTTGTGACCTAAATGCTAATGAAACAGCACATCGTCAAACAATTGCCAACACACTTTTCTTTATTCCTTCACTCTGTAAATTTAATGATGTTCAAGCTACCAATCATTCAACATGAATTGAGTGGGAAAAAATTGGAAAAAAGAAAATTTAATCTGTGATACCTGTCAGTTTAGGATTCTCTAGTATTTTATACTGGCTATTCTCCAGTTAAAAGACAGATGATTTTGCACATTATAGTTAACCTGGAAAATCAGTATTGTGAAGTCACTATTATTATAATTATTATTATAATTATATTATT